GGTGACCGTGGGGCGTCCCCACAGGAGGAGGTGAAGGTGAAGATGAAGGAGCTGAACGAGCACATCGTGTGCTGCCTGTGCGCCGGGTACTTCATCGACGCCACCACCATTACCGAGTGCCTGCACACCTGTGAGTCCCTGGGGGTCTGAGGGGACGTGTCCTGCTGTCCCACCGTGGGTGCTGGGGCCGTGCCACCACCCCGGCCCCCCCAACACCCCCTCCCTCTGGCCGCAGTCTGCAAGAGCTGCATTGTCAAGTACCTGCAGACCAGCAAGTACTGCCCCATGTGCAACACCAAGATCCACGAGACGCAGCCCCTGCTCAACCTCAAGCTGGACCGTGTCATGCAGGACATCGTCTACAAGCTGGTGCCTGGCCTGCAGGAGAGTGAGTGTCCCCAGGAGCTGCTGTCCCTGCACCCAGTGTTCCCAGGAGCTGGTGTGCCCACACCCAGTGTCCCCAGGAGTTGCTGTCCCTACATCTGGTGTCCCCAGGATCTGATGTCCTCCCCAGCCATGTGGGGAGGGCCCAGGGGAGAACTGGACACTTTTTGGGTGTGTTTGGCCCTCTGGGTGCTCAGACCCTGGATGTGCCAGGCAGGACTGGGAGCTGGGGGGCAGCCCCCATGGTGGGGCTGGAGATGAGCTGCTGTCACTCATAACAGGGTCAGGGAGGGCACTGGGGACACCCCTGGAAGTGTCAGCCTGCTGTGGGGCACCCGGCACTGCCGGGGGGCTGGGGGGGGCAGGAAACACCCAGCTGGGGCTTGGTTTGTCTTTTCCAACGTCAAAGAAGGTGGGAGGACAGCAGGAACAGGGATGGGGACCCCCAGCCTGTGGTGGGGGCTTGGTAGGGACCCCCAGGTGACTGAGGAATAGAGGTCTGTGCTGCTGGTGGTTGGCTTCCTTACCGAGCTGAGACCAGAGCAGTGGGATGGACCAGGAGCACCCGGGGATCCCACAGGGGACACCAGGATGGGCTGGGGGGGCCACGGGGGTGTCTCTGAGCAGCGCTGGCCTCTCCCCTGCAGGTGAAGAGAAGCGGATCCGGGAATTCTACCAGTCCCGTGGCCTGGACCGGGTGACACAGCCCAGCAGCGAGGGTGGGCACGCTGGGGGGGCGGGGGTGTCTGGGTGCCGGCAGGGC